TAGAGAACAAGCTTTGCATGCATGAAAATGATGGATTACCTTTTCAGCATGCCTAAGAAGTGTATTTACTGCTCTCTGCACACAGACACACACACACACGCACACAAAATGACAAAAAATGGACACGTGAGATGATGAAATCTGTACGCAGACACACGAGTGGTGACATTTCGAGACCAAACAGAGATGAAAATGACGAATGAGAGGACAAATGAATATGACAATTAACAGGAAAAATAAGTAACGATATGATGACACAAGATGAAGAGACAGGCATCAGTTAGGGGTCCACGTGAAGCCACAGAGAGCCCTGTCGTTGTGTCGTTATTGTGTTTCCCCGGCTGCACACTCGTGACGATGGTGTTCGTCAGAGTTAGAAGTGGATCAGATCTAGGAAGGCCCGCCTCCTAGTGTTAAAATATTTATGAAAGAACAAAGCCAGGCTTGTTTAATGCCTGTTTTGTACTGAAATATGATGAAAGCATATCGTCTGTGTTGGTTCTCAGTCATCCAGATGATGGAAGGAGCTTGAAAAGAAAGCGACTTAACTTCTTTGAGTTTCTGAAAACATTGTGTTAATAAATTATTAACTTATTTTTTGCAGGTCCTTTTTAAAAATCAGCAGCATCCTACCAGAGAAGGCGTTGCTCTACATGCATCCACTGCAAAATGAAAGAATGACACTGGACATTTAGTTTTAGCGACCCAGCAGGACTTAAAATGCATCTGATAGAAGAATCGCTCACATACACCTGCTCTGGTAAAGGCATTGTTAGTGCAGTATCGGCACGCACAGACACACACTTACCTTGAACTCGTAGGACTCCTCTATGACCACTTCTACCTGTGTGTGTTCGCCCAAACTGGGACAGCCCATCTTGGCCACCTCTTCCTCCTCCGCCCCCACCAAAGGCTTGTTTTCATTCGAGTCACCTAGGTGACAATAGAGATGAGTAGTGATGAGACTTTACAGTAATAACAGAAACAGCTACCTGCCCAGCCTGGCAGCAGAGAAGCACATGACAAGAACGGGTTGGTGCTCGTTGGTTAGCAGTGACTGTACTTTCAAAATAAGAGCAAACCTTTCAGTTTCAGTGGATGTGCCCTGCCAGGATACTGTTTACGCGTTTTCATTTTGAAGTGTCTTTATTACTGCTCCATTTACTTGCACACTGACATTTTTAAAGGCCAAAGCTAGTTTGCTAATATTTTCACATATAGGACTTATTATTATCTAAGATCCTACTTAAAAAAAAGTCAATGAAAAGATATTAAAAATAAGGTCTGAAATGTTTCCTTGTGTTATTCTGAGTTTTTTTGTTTAACAGTGAGATATTTTTAAGGATTTAAGATGAAAATTGTGTCTAAAATGGTAGAGAAAATATCAAATACTAGTTACATATCATACAACAGAACATAACATGTAACATGATAATTGTACTGTTTTATTTATGCAGTGATGGAAATCTTCTATCATCTATCAATACTTTCCACCTTTATTGGTCCATACCTTCTGTTTGGGAGGGATAGCCAATCAGAAGACTTCAAGACAGAGGAATTAAATAAAAGCTGTTTTAGCAACAAAGACCAATGTATGAGCTACAAAAGAATGATATATATAACAGTGAATCATCTAATGTCACTCTGGTGGAGTGCACGAAAAAAAAAAATGGAGCTGGAAATGAACATAATAGGTCCATTTTTAAATTTTAGCTCAGCACAATTACTCTAGGTTTGGACAGTCACGTTACTCAAATATCTCCGTGGCATTTAATCATCAAATCTTGCCCTGAGGGTTCTCCATATAGTCGTTTGCTTAATCTTTTAATTTGACAGATTTCAGACATCATCTTAAGACTCTTTTTTCATTATTCTCAGCAGAGACCACAGCAGTGTGAACTATTACTGAGAAAACGTATGCTGTGGGTTGTGAAAGAATATTTATGTATATGCTAAATCTTTAAACATGGGAAACGCGAGCTTTATCCGCAAAAACTTTACGTTTTCTCCCACCTCTCTATTGCGCGCTTCCGTGTATGCTGCAGCATCTCTCCCAAACGTCTCCTTGTTCGCTCACGTTTCCAAAACAGACAGCAAGTTATTAATTTTTGCCGTTATCAGTGTGTAGCTCGCTGTAATTGAAAAGCTGTGTACTGTACGTGACAGCATTATGTGGTTGCCAGTCTGCTCGCTCTGTGACAGCATTATAAAACCCATCACATTTCTGTGTAATGAAACATGCCACGGCATGCCGCAGGCTATGGGCTCTTCCTGTGTGACATCTACACTATAGACGCTTTGAGAAGAGCCTCTGTGTGTGTTTAAAGAGTGATAAAGCAGGAAGATTCTGGTGCGGCTAATTGGCTGGCACGTCTTTAAAGACACAAAATGAACGCGGCGAAGAAATTTTGTTTGAAAAATACGTGAACTTTCTGATTGGGACACATTAGCTGCTCTTTGAAGCTGCTAACACATTCAGAGGTACAATGCTGGTAATGTTTAGCACTAAATGTGGAATATATATATATATATAAATGACATATTGACTTTGAGCATTGGTTCTCTCCAGCCTTGAGTCACCTCGGGGAGATCAGCTGTCTCTCTGTTAAAGAAGCCTTTTAAATTTTCATCTAAAGCTTCTCACATTCTTAAAAAAAAAGAAGGGCGGGGGCTTAAATGTTTTAGATTCTTGGATTTCAAAGATCTGCGCGGGTTTTGAATTAGCAGATGACAGTACGAGAGGAAAGAAGCTGATCGAGATGGTTCATTTGCCATGACTAAACTGCAAATTGTGTTCCATCTGCGACGACGCTGCGATACTACAGCGATTCCAGACAACGAAAGGAAGCTTTCTGGCTTTTGTTTATACTGCATACACCAAACCTCCTTATGGTGACATAATTAAGCAGATCACATGCTGATTTGGATGAGTTATTACTCCTATCCCTCCTGTGACACGATTACTTCAAAAACGCATCGCAGCTCAGGGCCAGTGATGTCGAAATCCTTCCCAAGTCACATCCTCAGTGGCTCAAAGTGAAATGTTTCCACGGTTAATCTGAGTTTAGATTGGAGGCTTCAGGTAATCAATGCTGGTCTCACCTTGTCTCCAAGCGACAGATGTGCACCGGGCCTGTTTGCTGATAAATAAGGACGTCATTCTGTCTGTCACACTTTCCCTGCTCCTGCTCTCACTCCTGACTTCTTGATACTCTCTTTGAACAAACACACACACACACACACACACACACACACACACACACACACACACACACACACACACTCACCGTGTTTCTGTCCTATCTCCAACAGAACAGGCTCTCCCAGCTCGATGGTAAAGGTCTTGTTCTTCTCATACTCTTCATCATCAATGATTTTCACCTCGATGATCTTCCTGTTTGTTAGAAGAGGAGAGAGACGACGAGGCTCAGTGTGTGCAGTCCAGATAATTACCTTTTTTGGTTGTTCTCCATCATAGTAAGAGCTTGTTCATGGCAAAGGACCAGTCTATTAAAACTCTCCCCGTGACAGGTTGTAATCGGACACGAGGTCATTTCTGCTGCCCCTACACTGAAAAACACTGACATAAGTAATCATTATACTACCTAACTTGAAGTAACAGTTATAATAAACACACCCAAAAAAGGAAAAATAATTAGATTTGATCCCCTTGTGATTTCTCTCAGAGAAAAGGATGACGAGTCTGAGCAAAACTGAAGGCTGAAGCCCAGATTGGCAGTACTCGGGGGAACGGCGTGTGAGGGTGCTAGCTACCTCCCAGGCTTGACAACTGACAGTGATGCTATGAACACCACAACTACTGGGGAAACATTTTCAATCAGGAGCGCCCTGGGGAGCAACTAAAATGCAGTGCAGAGAGTTTTGAGGTGATGTGTAAATTGGAGCGGAAAAAAGGTGTGGAGATTTTCAAAAATAGCTATTGGAGCACTTCTTAGTACTGCTTGTGTTGCAAAAGACAGATTATTGATATATTTAAATAATGATTTTATTGTCTTCATAAAGAAAAGAATCTTTGAAAACCATAAAAACGAATAATTTGTGTCTAAAACTGCAGACATTAAGGTGTCAGTGCAGGGAGGCTGTAAATGTGACGGGAGTTTAACAGGACAGACTGAAAGCTGTGATTGCTTTGCATGTGGAGTTTCAATGTAAACCAACAATAATTAAACCATTCTTTGTATGTGGCAAATCTATTGAATCAATTTTTCCCCACTTTAAACATCTGCAATTTTTTTTAACCTCACAAAGTGTGTGCGTTCATATTTACTGGCTTGTTATTTCCTTCAGTTTCCACTCAGTGCATAGCTTCTGTCTTTCTGCGTGTTACATTTACCAGCTGGTTTCGCATGTTTAACCGGCTTCATATCTACGTTTCTTTGTGTGAAGCACAAAAACCCAGACCAGAGCTACTTCTTAGCAATTGAGGACTTTTAGGAGGAGACTAGGTTAGTTGGATCTTGTGCCATGATGATTGAAAGCCATGGCATTCGCAAGGCCTCTGTGTCGGGCTCCTCAGACAGCTAACGACCCCCGGTTCCTGCCAGGATTGGTCTGGTAAATGCTAGATTACTCGTGAGAAAACTTTTATGCTTGGGATTTCAAATCCCGAGGACTGGATTCACTCTGCGTGACTCAGATGTGGCTGAATGCTGGAGCGTTCAGCTGTGTGTTAACACAAAGTCCAGGTGTCATTCTCAGCAAATTCACCCCAAGATCAGACCATGTAATGTACATAGAAACCACAAAGAGCCAAGAGTTGGAGCTCAGAGAGTACGGACTTCAGTTAACATTTAATGAAACGTTAAATCTTAAAGGTCTTGACGGTACAATCAGAAAAGGAGTAGAGCTTGTTTTGAAGGAGAAAGCCTCTTCTTTCTAAAAGAACACGGCAAAGTTGCATCAACAAAAACCACAATATGTCTGGAACAATCCTTTGGAAAGACAAGAACAATGTAGAGATGTTTGCCTGTAAAGCATGCTGAAGCATCTGGAGAAAAGCAAACTCAGCATATCATCAAAAGCACCACATATCGACTGCCAACCACGGGGGTGGAGGGTGATGATTTGGGGTTATTTTGCAGTCACGGGGCCTGGGCAGCTTGCAGCTATTGAGTCAACCATGAACACCTCTGCATATGAAAGTAGTCAAATGTATGGCCATCTGTCTGACAGCTAAAGCTTGTCTGAAACAGGGTCATGCAGCAGTGATCCCAAGCACAGCAGCAAATCTACAACATAACGCCTGAAAAAGAAAACAACTGAGGTGTTGCAATGGCCCAGTCAAGGTCCAAACTCAACTAGATTCTAACAATCCCACATACAAAGACAATATGCACTGCAAGCACCTTCAATCAAGGCTATTCCCTCTAATTTGGGTGTTCTATCGAAGATGTTAATTTCCTATGTCTGCCTTTGCTTTGCACCACGGTACTGCTGCTGATTCTGAATGGTGGGATGATATTTACTCATCACTACCAAACACATCTGTGCGTTTAGATTCTGTGGAAGATGAGGTCAAAGCCTATACACTAAACTGCTCGATGTAAATAAACATTTCAAACAGAACTGTCTGGCTGAACCAAACTTAGTTCGTTATATTTGGCGGTATGGCTCAGTTCTGGGAAGTCCCCACACTTCCAAGCGCATACGTGGAAAGCATAAGCCAGGGAGAGCAGTTAAAGCTACAGCAATGCCACATAGAGATGTAAGTCACAGCTGATTATTATTTTAAGACCATAAAATATAAAACTGGTTAAATATAACAAAGCCAAGAAAGGAAGATTTTATCAGAGAGGACAAAGCTTCAGCAAATTATACTTCCAATTACTTTAAATGGAGAGATTAAATGTTTCACTAAAGTCATTACATGCAGCGTTTATCCTCACTTTAAAAGGAGAACTACTTCTATAGCTTATAAAGTATTTCTCTGTTTAATTGTTATTTGTGCGTGTCGTGCAGCAGCTTTGATGCTTCTAAGGAAATTTCATCAGGTTTGGTATCTTTCTGGCCCGTTTCATCTTCATCACCACGATCCAGCTGCGTCTACCAAGCGGAGAGGAAGAAAGAGCGTTCACTTCCACCTGGTTGTGTAATCGCACGTTTCGCTGTGAGCCATGTTGACTATAATGCGGAAAATAGGCTTTGCTTCAGCAGAAAGAGGAAGCGAGAGGGAGAAATGGGCGGGGAGACGTATATGGAGGGTGGAGGAAGGGCAGCGAGGGAAAGAGAAAGCGACGGAGGGGAAGAGACGTGGAAGTCCATTTTTATCGTTGGCGAGCTGTCAAGGCAACAGTGGATGTAACTTGATTGATTTGGTATTTCCAGCGTCACATCAGGGTGAGTGGCCAACTCCAAGCCAGTGATGGAGAAGAAATTAAAATGTTGTTTAATCAGATGTGAAACAAAAGGAGATAAAAAACATCCTATATTTAGGAGGACTACAGGGAACTGAAATTACGCTCGTTATATCCACAGACTGTAAATAAAAAATGGTGGTGCTTTTAATGCTGTATATTTAGGCAAGTTTACTTGGGAATCTGTGGCGACTGACTTGCTTTTGGAGCCAGCCATCAGTGGCCATTAGAGAAACTGCATTTATGTCTTCTTCTTGCTTTATTATGTAGCTACTTTCATGCCACAAGGTGTCGCCACAGCGGGTAGCTCCACATGTCAGTCTTAGCATCCTGACGCATCCTCAAAGGGGATTTGTGTCTTTAGCTGGAACATTTGATATTGTTCAAATGATTTCACAAATGAAATTGTAATGCTGAGTTATGTAAAAGATTACACAGACATCGTTAAACCTTTTCCTCTGAACTGGGATTTTTTTTTTTTTGTAGCTTAGCATTTGTTACGCAGCACGTTTGTCAAACTTCTGATTATCTAGAAACTACAAAAACTGGAAGAAAATAATAAAGTTTGAAAATAATTATCGTAGTATGAACTCTAATGCTCTCTGGTCACCATGGTAATGCCTAAATATTTCTTGGAAAAAAAAAAAGACGCACAACTACAACACAGGAAAAGACCCAGGGAAACCGAGTTAACGATAAAAACCCTGAAAAAAATTAATTTCACACCCGAGCTGGTACCGGTCCGTGGCCCTGGGGTTGGGGACCGCTGCTCTACTATTAAATTCAATGCTTTAAAACCCAACACTTTGACTTAAAGTGAGCTTCTGGCAGCGGCGCTATATTCTACTTTTAGTGGAGATATCATCTGAATTTCAGGAGCGGGGCATCTCCTCCATCACCCCCCTCCGGCCTCAGGCTATAAAAGCCCCCTTTCACCTATACCTGCTGTTCTCATTTTCATGCCCCACCCTTCCCCCCCATTTTCCCTCTCTTTTCTCTTCCTTTCCTTCATTCACTTCTCGTTAGGAGCAGTCGCAGTCCCTTTTGAGGCCTTCCCCAAACCGCAGCACCAGCTCACACTTCCTCATGCCTCATCGCCCATCGTTACAGAGGATGTGGTCCCAGCTAGTTATTAGCTCTAATTTAACATCAGCTGCTAAAATGTGAACATCCATCTGAAACCAAGAACTCAACGTTCTAAACACACACAAAAAGACAATTAAAAGGTAAATTAAAAAGGCACAATCGCAGTAAACTCCAATGTGACCACATAGAAGGAAGAACGAGAGTAGCAACAATAAATAAGCACAAACTGACAGTGACATGGGCGAGGGAAGACAGAGGTAAGTGGATAGAGAAGTAATGAAATGCAAAGCAGGCAAACAGAGAGGAGGAGGAAGTGAAAGAGGAGAGATAGGGATGGGATGAAGAAAAAGGAGGTGACAGAGAGGAAAAAGGCTGGAAGATGAATATGAGTAATACATAGAGTCTACTGAGATATGAGGGGTTACAGCTAAATACACACAGAGTTCATTCAGTGTTACAAGACAACCAGGACAGAGAACCATGACCATAAAATGCCCTTTGCTGAATTGAAGAATGAGGCACTGTGTCTACGTTCATAGATAAACAACAGAACTTGATGCATAACTCTAACCCCAGCCATTCAGGTGATGTCATTTTTATTTTAGATAAAATAAAACATTTGTTTTGGTAATCAGGAAACAAAGAAGATCATAAGTCTAAATGACATGTCTGTTTTGCTTTTCTCAAAACATAGCGTTACTGTAACGGATTACAGGTGGGAGCTGAGGCTCAGAGGTGATGCACATCTCCTCTCCTCATTGCACAGCCTCATGTCCACTCTACAGTGACTAAGGCCTCCTGCAGGAGTGTCCACTCCCTCCCAGACACCTAGTGATGATGTGAGCCAAAATGATGATGAGAGTCAGTTTAGGAGGAAACGTCTGAGTGGAAATACTGAAGTCTTCCAGAAGTCTTTCCCCTAGATCACAGATGA